TGGTGTTAATGTCTAACCTCAATCAATCTAGAAATTTGTAAATCATTTAGGTTTGAGTTGATAAAAAGATAAGTAATAAACAATTCGGTTTGATACTTTAGGTTTTGTACTAGTTGATAGTTGTTAGTACTTCAAATTTTAAAGGAACTGATAATCTTCATGAGATTCAAATTATCCAGTCAAGCTATGCTTCATAGTTTGTATTATCGTTTACTTGTTAGATCTACGACAAATCTGTACGATTAAGATATTTACAACTGATAGATCACTGAGTAACGATCGTTATCATACTTTTCTAATCATATTGGTACCATTCAAATTCTGTTGACCATGTTGTCAATATGACTCACTGGTTTAAGTGACTTAACTAGAGAATTGTAATACACTGTCAAGTGGTATGGCAACTCGAACTGATGTACGTACGTACGAAGTTCTACGTTGTTACTGACTGACTGACTGATTGATCATTTACGTAGTTAAAAATCATGATTGCCAAAACATCTATCCGGGTCAGGCTATGAAAGCAAAACTTGACAATGGGAAATATCATTACTGACTATTAGCTGTTTTAACTGAGTAGTCTAGTGTTTAGACGAAGTGTAGAATCTATGATTCAATGAAAGATACTTAGACTACTGGTTTATACAACTGCATAAACCAATATTTATTATTTTACTGGTCTTTTACCGACCGTAAAACGTGTTGTTGAGGGTAGGAGAAATTATGAAAATAACACAATATAATCAGATTCATTAGATGTGAGTTGAATTGTTTCACACTTTAACCTTGTAGGAATTATTATTCGTAAGTTTTCAGAAGTTCATTTGAAGTAAAGTCTCGCGCGCAAGACTGATGGGTCCCGGGTTCGAATCCCGCGAGGGGAGATCGTGGATGCGCACTTTTAAACTTTATTCAATAGATAGTATTCGCTACTGATGTTTTACTACAATAACTGCATATAATATTGTTTTTCGTTTGATTTTTAATGAATAATAATTCATTCAATTTTGAATATTTCTAATTATGAAGGCAATCTGCTAAAATGCTTAATCTATTTTCCAACTGTGCAAATATAAACTTAATTAAGCTTTCTATTTTTAGATTTAATTGAACTGAATAATTATGTGTGTACTTATCCTCTAGTGAACGAAGACTTGGTGAGGATAATCGACTTATTGTTTAATGCACACGTCACATAGGGGTTTAGTAAAATGTTAAAATCACACATACAATGCATCGTTTGAACATCTTTCAGTTTTCTTTTACATCCTTCATGATTCTTTCAATTCTTTTTTTATTCCAATTGCTTTCTTCTTTGCAGTTCAATCTTTTGACAAACACTTCTAATTAGTGTCACATACTACTTACATTTGTGAACATAAGTAGCATACACCGCGAACGGGTATTATAAAACGCTTACTGCTGATAATCACTTTTGGGAAACTTTGAATAAAGGATCAAACTTGTTCGCATATTTTTCTCCTCTTTGTCTATGATAATAAACGGATTAAATAGTCATAGCTGGTAGATTTGCTGGAAAATCTTTAATCATTAATTATAGAGTCCAGGTAGATAGTGACTAGTGATGAAAACATTTACACAATATATTATACTGAATGGTGTTGCTTAATTGTTGATAATTCCTTATTGCAACAACATACATAATACTATCATGATTTGTGTATAACTGAAGATCATCATAGTTTGAGGATTTGTACATAAAACGATTATGTTTTGTTAGTGAGTCTTGACATAGTTGTCAGTAACCGTTAACTCCTATTCAGAAATTTGTAACATCAAGCATCCTATCATATGTTCTTATCAGTATTATCAGATTTTTTCGTAGTTTTATATGGTCTTTTCAATTCCTAATCATTATTAATGATGGACTTCAAGTGAACTTCTGAAAACTTACGAATAATAATTCCTACAAGGTTAAAGTGTGAAACAATTCAACTCACATCTAATGAATCTGATTATATTGTGTTATTTTCATAATTTCTCCTACCCTCAACAACACGTTTTACGGTCGGTAAAAGACCAGTAAAATAATAAATATTGGTTTATGCAGTTGTATAAACCAGTAGTCTAAGTATCTTTCATTGAATCATAGATTCTACACTTCGTCTAAACACTAGACTACTCAGTTAAAACAGCTAATAGTCAGTAATGATATTTCCCATTGTCAAGTTTTGCTTTCATAGCCTGACCCGGATAGATGTTTTGGCAGTCACGATTTTTTAACTAAGTGAATCATGCATGCTTGGCTACACTAACAATTGATTCATCGAGAATTTCACTGGAGCGTAAATTCGCAGTGCGGTGATAGTTCTTTTCAATCAGTCCGTCATTGTTGTTTTACACAAATACACATATGTTTAACAATAGTAATAAGATATTTATTAATGAATGGATATATCGGGATTCTTAATAAACATTTTACTAATTCTATTGTGATCAATTCCTAAGCTGTATATTCTAATTTATTCGCTTATTAAGTAGTATCTTCCAATACTGATCATTTCATTCACTTATATACATGCCATAGAGCCATTATGAAAAACGAAATGAAGAGAAATATTGTGTGACTCGTCTGCATTCGTTCAGTATATCAATAATTCACGTTTTTTGGTGTATTCGCTAAAATGAAAACATTCACTGCGGTACTCAGCTCTTGGTAAATTTATTTAAATTTCAGCTATATCTGTGTTCTTTAATTGGACATTGAAGGAATCTGACCCGACCGTTGTTGCTGCCTTGACGTGGTGGTCGACCTTGCCTATCGTGATGAAGCAACCGAGCTATACTGACTGGAACAACTGTTCTTCAAGATCCTACCATATTAGACAGGTTGGTTGAAGAGCGGTAAGACTAAAAGCAACAAACCCAAGGTCCGAAGTCGTACTGCTGACTGTACAGAGGTGTGACAGCAGTAAGGTGTTTTCTTCAGACAACCAGCATGACAGCGATGCTGCCTTCCCACAAGGAGGGGTGGGGTTAGAAAAGGTCAACCCTAAAAATGCACACCTCGCCTTATCCCACGAATATCCGTCTCCGTCAGTAAGGTGTCACGCTCCCAGGTCACTAAGACCACCTCTAACCCAATTCCCTTTTCAGGTACCTCCAGGACAATCCTTTCACGGTGTGGGCAACCGGGAAGTGATAACCGTTCTCATACCTCTAACAGCACTCAAGACCACTGTATTCATAATCAACCTCCGTTTCCACTTTCTATTATTCCTCCTACATCGACTTTCACCTATAAACTTCGTTTTTGGGCTTCCCCCTCAAGTGTCACCATAGCCAATGATTCTAGTGCTCAAAACACTGTCCCAGGTCTACTGAAACTTCGCTTATGTGCTAAACAGCTGCGTAAGAACTCGGAAAGATAGGGACATACGTCGTTGCCTTTTTGTCGTTTCTGCCTACGCTCCAACCGACTGCAGCTCAGATGAAGTGAAAGATGAATTTTACAGAAAGCTATCTGAACTTCTTCAGAAAGCTAAACCTTCAGACATAGTACTCATAGGAGGTGACTTTAATGCCCAGATAGGTAGTTTAAACCAAACAGAAAGGCATTTAGGTAGGTATTTTAGTATTCCTGCACAACGAATCTGAAATCAGACCGTAAAAAAATATCTGCCCGACTAGATGAAAACCTCACATCTGTTCACATAATCTTATCTAGTCAAAAAACAATATCCCAAAGGTTTCATGCACGCGCTGTGTACATCGCTTTTCTTAGGTAATTACTGTTTGTGTGAACTAAATACACAAAACTATGGTTTCGACAAGGTACTGACAACAGACAAATTGATCTGTTCGTAATCAAATGAAATCCTACGTTAAGAAAACCACTACTGACATGAAATCCCAGCTTATTTGAACAATTATTTATTTAATAAATAACGTCAAGGCCTGTATAATAAATGTTTACACAAGTTTGGTCTTTATTTCGACGTATAATCTCAACAAATCAATGTTTTAACTGACAGCTTATAGCTTTGAGAAACAGACACGTGATGATGAATAATACACAGGACTTTATTGATAAATGATTTATGCAGTCTTCGTCAGCTATTGACAACTGAGAATCTAGACCGCATCATCCTTGTCTGAGATATCAGTATCATGGCACATGAATGCAGGTCACACTAATTGATTAAAACTCGTCAGAAGATAAATATTTGCAACATTAAGGACGGGTGTGTTGCTCCCTGAAGGATTCAAACTTACAAGAACCATTGTGAGACGATACTATTCAACTATTCAAGTGATAAATGATCTATTGGGATAATTACATTGACTGATCACTGAGTGGTAAATATTGTCGGACTTATCTAGTCGTCTAGAGTATAATTTCTCTTAATACTACTTAGGCTACTAAACATATTGTAGTTTAATTAAAAGAATACAATCAGCACTAGACATTCATCTACCAGTAGTCAGCGTTTAATCATTTGAAAGGCATCATCATTTAAATCCATTCATTATTTATACAGAAAACAAACAAAATAACACTTTCAAGTACATATGATAAGTCATCAACACTGGTATACTCTCAATGTTAAATATATTCCCAAATAGTAAAACAGTAAATTTGATAAACACTTAATAATAATAAATTTATGTCTATATTGCCAGGTGCTGCTACTTTATTACCCTTAGGTTGTCTGATAACCATCCTGATTACTTCGATCGTTGGTGGAGTGACAGTTAAGAGATAGTCTGTAGATGTCGCTTTGATGCCCGTTGGATTTATGGCGGTATTGGTCCCTAACCACACGTTCTTCTAGGCCGAGCATATAACCACTGAGAAGATTTACATGCAACATGTAACACTTGAAATGCTGAACAACGTTATGCTAAACTCCATACTTGCAACTAACTAATTTTCACCATCAGTCGGTAAGTGTGTAACCTTTTGCATGCGTTTGTGTAGGAATATTGTGCTGCCTAAAAACATATTGTTCAGGGAAGATGAATTGACAAATCTAATATAATACAAAGAAAAATTACTATTCATTAATTCAGTTACTAATAGTAACATCAATTACATGAATATATATGCGCGCATATATCAAAAAGAAAAAAGATAAGTCAGCTAAAAAAAAATTACCATCACATATTACTAATATTCAATTGGTGAAATTAAATTCACAATAAAACAAAAAAAAACACACACATTGAATCATATGGAATTATAGTTTTAATGAATTTAAAAAAAAAAGATAATAATAATAAAGGCTACACACATATTTGAAAGCGGGAATTTAATTTCAATGATGAATAGAACTATTTTATTAAAAGCAGATAAACAAAGGGAGAAACTTAATTGTTTAAACAATTGTTGAATTAGATAACATTATTTTAAAAACAAAACTCTTTTTTAGAAAGGAAAAGAAATATAATAAACATTCATTATATCATCAATATGAGACAGTAATAGAAAGACAGGAACTTTGTTAGATTTCAGTCAGTCAGTAACAACGTAGAACTTCGTACGTACGTACATCAGTTCGAGTTGCCATACCACATTTAGATTTATTGTATTGTTTATAGTCAATAGTTAGTTACCAAGTATGTTTGTTTGTTGTTGTTGTTGCTGAATATATATATCTCTTTAAATTGTACCGTCATCGTTAGAGATATCATACAAGCTTAATTATAAAATCATAATAACACTAATGAAATGAATGATTTAAGAATAACACAACAAACCTAAGTGAATAATAAATGATGAGTGAACGAACAAACAAGAAAAAATTATCCTTTCTCCCTGACACTATTCACTTTGACATTTTTCAACATACACTATATATATAGAAAGATATTTAACGATAAAGTTAGATTGTAACAGTGTTTATTATAGACAAAACAATATCATGAGAAGCGATTGAAAAGGCAAGTTTGATGTGTTTTTACGGTTCAATGATTTCATTTTAACCATTAAGATGGAGAATACTGATGAACGACCTATGCTCCTTCTTCATGAAGAGTAACAGGCGTAATTCATTAAGATTTCTATTATATATTAATGTTATTCAGTCAGCAGTTTGATTTGTGCTACACAAATATATTTATAATAGATTGTTTGTTGTAAAGATCCCTACGAATATACTTTAAAAATAAAATTGGCTAAAAATTCCAACTCTTGACTCACTGTACTGATACAACACAAAAACAGAAGAGTATTCCTTAAAGGAAGACATCGAATAAATACAAGAAATGGCGCCAACATTGAATTATAGTTCAAAGGGATTAAAGTGAATTGAACAGATATATATTCACTGAATAAATGAGAGTGATTGAAATAATCATAATCACAATACATGATCAAATGCATATACAATACATTCTGATGTACATGCATAATATTTAATAAACAATATTTATATCATTTAACAATATTGAATGTATGATCCAAAATCAACTTCAATTGAACATTAAACATGTTCAATTATATATATATATATGAATATTTCCTTTAGTAACAAAGAATTCATAATAGAAAAGGATTACTTGAAAAAAGATCTTCTTATTATGTCCATTTATCATTCAATAAAACCTATAATTATTAATAGAAAACAAAATAATCAGATATCTTTATTTATGTTTCTTAATGAACAATTCCAACAATAAATGTTGTAATTAATTAATCCACAGTTGAAATCACGAGTCGACCTAAGTTAGACAACCATTGTCCTAGTACGGGACTCCTCAAAAGTACGCATCCACGATTCAGTACACAGAACTCGAACGTACGACTTTCGAAATCGCGCGCGAACATCTAAACTCTAGACTAGAACTTCAATCGACACATGATCTTGTACAACCCTTCATCCATTCTTGAGGTGGATAATTGTCTCATACTCGACACGGATTGAACTCCACTAGCCACAGTTTCTTATTAGAACTTCAGGAAATCCATCTTGAAGCCAGTCAATACTTACACGTTTTCAATAGTGTTCTAGGTTACATAGACTGGTGAATTCAACTACGAAGATACTACCATCTCCACAAATTCCCATTCTGTTAATTTATTCTATTTGGAATTCCATAGATGAACATTGTTAGTGATGGATTGACATAAAACTAATAGAATGTTACAATTTTGATTGATTTACGATAGGTTCTGTCCTAAGACGTGTTTTGTTGAACAAATTAGAGAAATAAAGCAAATGAATGTAATTTGTATGTTGTTTTTACCGATTAGATCATCATATCATCATCAAATGATCGTCCATAACACCGAAGGAATACGTAACTAATATGATTAGACTTATTTTTATTTCCTGAAGAATTGATTTACAATAAGTCATGAGAAGTCGGGAAATCTAATTTCATTTTTTTATCGACTGTTGTTTACCGCTAATGTATATGATACATTTAACTGTTGTTTTGAATTGAATAAGGAAAACTTTCATAATCAAATAGAATGTTTAGAGACCTAAAGGTTGAGGGAGATATATGGTAAAAAAAGTCTGTTTGAGTTCTAATTTATCTGTATGCAATTGATAACTGAACTCAATTACTGGACACAAATGGTAACACTATGCTTAAAACAGTTGCTTCATAATTATTTATTGACATATATATGTGTATGTATGGGATATAAAGCTGTCTGCATACTGCCACTGAAGCATTTAGACTTATTTAGAAACAACTGTTAGAACTTTCGACTTATAGATCTAATCCAGAAGACACTGGAGTAACGTCAAAAGATCCAGTCCCATTATAACAGAAGGGCAGAACAGGTTCATACAAACCTTATTACCTAAGGATCGTGGAGGTCATAAACACTCTACTAGGTGAACTTTCTGCATCTATCAACTCTGTGTGATCACAAAGTGTCCGCTTTTCGTACTAATACGTTCATAAAAATAAACAACCCTCATCTATGTGAACTTATTGAGCAGGACTTCAAGAGAGTAGGCTATAGCCACGTCTGACCGAAGTGAACCATATTACTATTTATTTATTAATTGTGCTATCTCTCTTATATTACGCTACAATATCGCTTCATTTTTCAAGCTCTTTTGTGTTAGAATTTAATGTGTTTCATGAAATAAAGTTTCACAGAAAAAACAGATCAACATTAAATCATACTTTTATAGATCTTAGTTAGACCATCATTAAAAAAACGTATAAGCACTGGATGGCTACTTTTTCTAGCATAGGACTTCCCTTCAGCATTGTACATCCATTAGTCCGCATCCGCGAATCGGACCCAATACCTTTGGTATGAAATGCGAACACTTAACCACAAATGATATAATCAAGATGGATCAATAGGTAAACTTACTAGTTACACCGTCATCTGTAGATAATTGATGTTGTTGACCTTTTAAAGTGCTGTCACCAACACCAGAAGCTTGATGTTGTGATTGTAAAAATGAGCTTTGTCTAGAATTATGAATATTACTAGCATAATGAAATTGTTGTTGTTGCATGAACTCTTGTGATGACTGACGATCAGTCAATAAAGTAGAATTCATTTGTGACCTTGATAAACTACTGCTACCACCACCACCACCGATTGTGTTATTCATCAATGAGCCACTAATTACTGATGGTTCACAACTCGTCTGACGCATTAATCCACCTCTTTGTGGCAGTCTTGACTGATGATGATTACTAGGATTATTAATATTAGTATTATTCAGTAATTGTGGTGTTACAACATTAGGCAAAACTTTAACACCAAACATTAATTGACTATTAGTAGTACCACTCGGATTACTATCTATATTATTCCCGGGTATAGGACTACCACGGCCAACAATACCATTATTATTATTACTATTGCCGGAATAAATACAAGAACAATGTGAAATGTTGTTGTTCGCACTTGATATAGAAGGAGTACAGGATGAAGGAAACATTTCCTGTTGAATTGATGGTTGTTGTTGCAGTTGCCTGTAATGATTTTGTTGTAACATTGATGCAACAGAACAATTGGGACTGGTTCGATGAAGAAAGTTCAATTGAGGCTGTTGTTGGTAATGATGATGAATATTACTATTATTATTAGTAGTAGTGGTAGACTGTTCATACATTAAGGATGAATTAAATAGTGATGGATTTTTATTACCAGCAAAATCGGATAAATTTAATCGTGAAGAGTGTTGGTGATGATTAGTTGTTAGGAAACTATTATTATTATTAACAGTATTGATATTGTTTAATGAAGAATTATGTGAAACTAATTCACGACTAACACTGCTTGAACGTCTAGGCGGATGTACTAATGGACGATCATATAGACGATTACCAATATGAGGAGTTTGTTGATAGGCCTAGAATGATTTACAAATAAAATATAAAATGAGCAATGAACGATTAATTTATCATTGAACAATAGCTAATGTTATATTTGCCTAACCTCTAAAGTGTTGACTGAATATCCATAGTATGAAAGAGTCTAAATTGACCAGACATTATGAGTATTATTCTTTGATAATTAGTAATTGAAGTTGTTATGAATTTAAGTTGTGGGTCGATTTTTACCCTGTGCTAATTGTTGCGTCCTTGACTGGAAAATTAGAGGGCAGCGTACTTATCGATCGATTCAATGACACGTAAACACGTACGGACGGCCTAGAGTCTCTATTGGTCTCGCTTCCCTGTCTAGCCCAGTTAGTTGAGTCCAGAACACAAGTCACAACCTCTGAGATATGAATCACTATATTTCAAACATACTTTGTTTATATACCAGTCAAGCATACCACATCGTATCATAAAATAGAAAACAACGTTTTGTACAATATTCAACGAGTGAACAGATATCGACCAATAGGAAATGTCCATTTAAAGTCCAAGGACACCATTGGACTTAACATGATAATTATTGGTCTATTCCTGCGCATCCACAACAGAAGTCCGTTGGAAAGAAACTTGAGGTCAAGATTTTGTGTTAGTTGTTGAAATAATGGATCCATTGGATATCGATTAAATGATGAACTCACGTGGTTGATTGAAATATCGCTTCCTCTACTAAGGAATGATATATACGTATACAATTAGTTTCAATTCCGCTGATCAGTAAAGGGCTTCTTTATCAATCGATCTTCCCAATCTTCTCGCGAATAGGAAACTTGTTTATCAAAAGCAGAATAATCCATCAAAAAACACAACAGTCGTCACTTGTCTTGAAGGGAATTATAAGTATATTACTATGGTAGATAGTATTATTAGTTTATTCTTATGTGCATTTTTTAGGCAATGATATATATATAATATTTCACAAGTTGAAATCATGAGTCAATTGAAGCTAGATCACCATGGAAAACCTGGAAGCACTGGGCGGCCGTTTCGTCCTGGTATGGGACCCCTCAGCAGTGCGCGTCCACGACCCCGCACCTCGCGGGGTTCGAACCCAGGGCCTACTGGTTTCGCGCGCGAGCACTTAACCATTAGACCACTGAGCCGGCATAATAACGAGACTTTTGATTCAATGTAAATCTTAACTGGGGTTAATTTTATTGTTATCGATTACAATTTACACATATTGCACCAATATTAGTTTCAATACGATAAGAGGAAATAATATCTCTTTGCTTGCACTAACACACACACACAGCACCATTTTTCGTTCAAGTTTAGTGCACAAAAATCTTTAACTTATTTCTGAGTACATGATTGTGAGCATGAAAAAGCAATCTTCCAGAATTATTCACATTCAACTTTTTATTTATTACGAAGTATTTTATTTAGAAAGTACAAATGTATGTAAACAGGGAATTTTCTGGGAGATTTTGTCCTAGTGATTGTTGATCCGCTTAAAAGGAAAGTTAGGGGCGGTTTAACTAAAACGTGGCATCAGTCCATAAAGTCACTGACTTCTGGTCTGAACCATGTTGGTAGATGCAGACTACTTGGTCGAGTTCCACGTGACTATAGTAACCATTGGTTGGAGACTCTTGGTGATATGGCTCAGAGTTGATCACAATGGCATCGGTGTATACACTCTTTGTCTTCCCCTTAAACCATGATATTTACGTTACTTTATACTTTTCTTTCTATGAACTAATTCTTTCTTCCTGTATCATATCCTTATATGAAATCTTTTCTTTGACTACCTTTGAAGTAACCGCTTCTATGAATTTGGCGTTCATCTTGTAATGAGGTGTGGCAACTTGGACGGATGTATATATGTGCCTGGTCCTATTCTATAGCTGACTGACTGATCCGCTTAAGACTATATTATGCGGTCAGATGTATTGAAGTATGTATGCTTAAGAAACTAATCAAAATAACCTATACGATGCAAACAGCGACAACGTATAATCACCTCTCTCTTCGTTATTATAAATTACCAGCCAAACGAGAAAGGATCGCTCAACATTATTCTCTAATTTATCCACTGATTACCTTTCGAAAACATCTTTGAAAAAATTGTCTGATAGTAATATAGATGTATCATTTGAAGAAAGAATCATCCATTTTCAATGTAAGCGAGATATTTTGCTGAAAGAAGGAACATAGGTTATACAAATTAAACATCTTCAGTTTCGAACGCATCTTAGTAGTGGTCTACTGAAATTAGTTGAGGAGTTAGGTCATAATTGTTGTGAAAGACGTGGTCAATGTACGTTGCACCTACTAACCCAGTTCGTTATTGGTACTGTGGTAACGTTAGTATAGCTGGAGAAAAGCGTTTATTATAAACAGCATCGATATGATTATTATATGTTGAAGAATCCTAGCCTTTTGATCAACGCTGTTTGATGCTCCGATAGCTTAGATATATTTATTATAAATATGGTAAATTCATTGAAGTTGTGGATCCTTATCGACTGAGGTACTTAGAACATGTGTTACATACACCAAACTACAGCCAACCTCCACACGTTATATTACCAGCTAAAACCAAAACGTGATATCACTTTTGAAAGTTATTGACTATTGAACTGCATCACGTTATTAAGTCCAAACTACTTGGTTAAATAACATCTAGGTGTTAAAGCTGATGACAGTTCGTGATTAAAACCTGTACTCTAATTCCCAACCCTAACTTCGAACTCGTGATCCTAAACTTACTTCCTCGCACTGATTTACAACCCTTTTTTTAACCCTATGAAGCAGATGAATTTTCTCAAGGTCATCTATATTTGCATCGCTTCAAAGTCACCCATAAATCATAGTTTCACCTGTGGTATTCATCCTGGTAAACCTAAGCTAAACCCTAAACTGACTATGAATGACCATGAAAGGAAAATACAGTTTTACTTGACATTTCTGTTAATTATGACATAAGAGGAATTTTATCAGATATCTTTTAAAATAGTGAAATTTATGGAAATTGTTGAGAGATTTATTATTGATCAACGACGATGACAAATAATATATATATGATTCTATGAAAGACTCAATCCAGATGTATGTAAAAAGGATATGAAGTATTACAACCAATTACCGGTGGGAAAATTTATTGCAGTTATCTAATGAACGAAAGATACAGCGACGATATATATCGATTAATGAGGAGGAACGGATGCAGATGTGAAGGCAAGGATTGACAAAGCAAGGGTAGCATTCCTACAGTTGGACAGCAAATGGGACTCAAAAAAACTGTCAACCAACATCAAAGTCAGAATCTTTAATATGAACGTCAAGACAGTTCTACTGTATGGAGCTGAAACTTCGAGAACTACTACAATCATCATCAAAAAGGTACAATTATTTATAGACAGTTGCTTACGTAATATAATAAATGTCTGTTGACCGGAAAACATCAGGAACAGCCTACTGTGGGAGAAAACAAACCAGCTTCTAGCTGAAAAGGGAATTAAGAAAAGACACTGGCAGTGGACAGGATATCATCAAACTGCATCATTAGACAAGCGCTGAAGGGAACGGAAAAGAGGAGGGCCAAAGAACATGCTGCATCGAGAGTTGGAAGCAGACATCAAAAAAATGAATTGTAAATGAAAGCAAGTGGGAAGGATTGTCCAGGACAGAGTTCGATAGCGAATGCTGGAGGGCGGCCTACGGTCCTCCACGATGGGTGACAAACGTAAGTTATATATGGACATGATTAAAAGTCAAGTTATTCACAAATCATCTTGTTATAGTTATAGATGATGATATTTAAGTTAGCCGGACAAATTATTTAGCATTTTTAAGGCGAATAACAAGATTTTTTTCATCAAACAAACAAAAAGAACAAAATCAGTTTAACCAACCTGACTACCACGACGTATTAAACCTGGTGTAACAGAAGCATAGTTGGAATTTTCACAGAAGATGGACTTAATGGAGGACCAGGAGGAGGAGGAGGAGATGAACAAATTTTACCAGAGGATATTGTTGAATCTAATGACTTTTTAAAATACTCTGATTGACGTCGTCGAAATGTTGAAGTACCAGAATTAACAATTGTATTTATGTAACCGATAGCATCACCATTAGTAGTAGAAGCAGAAGACTGTGATGCGTCACATAAATTATTATTAGTATTAATATCATTCCCATTCGAAGATAATGACGGTGATAACGTAGTAGCTAAATACCCTGATGATTGTGTTATCGATGTAGGATGAAGGAAAGGAGAAGTAGTTTGATCGGTCGTTATCAAGTGATTGTATTCCCATAAACTAGAAACATTATTATTCACACTAGACATATGTGTAGTATTACACAATGAACGAGAATTATTCTCTTGTCCCCCACTATCACAACTGACATTATCAAGTGTTGTTATCGGTGGCCAAATGAAATGAGATGACTGTGGTAAACCTTTTTTCGAAAATGAAATAGACAGTAAAATGTGAATGAATAAATAACTGACATAATGAACTGATTCTTTTTTTGTATTGAACACTTCTAAAATATGTATTATAGTTCATAGGAAAGATGATTTAAGAAAAAAAGGATAGAGAAACTTAATTGTGAGGTTGTGAATTTTCATCGACTGAGATGGTTGGACCACGTGTTGCGTATGCCTGAACACCGATTACCACGATGTGCAATGCTAACTGGTGTTGGGGGTGGTTGGAAGAAAGTTAGGGGCGGCCAAACCAGAACATGGCATCAGTGCTTGAAGTCACTAACTTCTAGTTCAGGCCATGTTGGTAGATGCAGACTACTTGGTTGGGGTCCGCATGACTATCGTAACTAATGATCGGAGACTCTTGGTGACATGGCTCAGAATCGATCACAATGGCGTAGGTGTATACACACTTTGTCTCAACTTAAAATAAGAGATTAAAATCGCTTCATATCTTTCTTTCAATGAACTAATTCTTTATTCCTGTACTATAATCCTTATATGCAATCTTTCTTTTATATATTACCACCACTGACTTAACTACTCTTATGAATCCGGTGTTCATCTTGCTGTGCTAATGCAGTATGGCAACTTGGACCGATGCATATATGCACTTGGTCTTACGTTGTAACTGACTTACTGAATTGTGAGGCTTAAGTGGAAGATTACAATACCTTTTTCAACAGATTTGACACCATTAAGATCATCATTAGAAGTGGTATGTGCAGTCTTTCTGTCATAGAATATACCCATTAATTAACTCAGTGTTATAACAGGAAAAAGTGAGACAAAGTTGAACTTTCGAAACAGTCCTGTTTGAAGTTATTGCTTTGATTTTTGCTATTTAATTATATATAACTAGGTTATTATATTTCGTTTTTTAAGTATTTTACTTTCAAACATCTATGTAGTGCATAAACGGTTGTTACGTTTTGTATCTTATTTAAGTTACCATTACTTTACTACAAATCTATCCCTTAGTCCTTTTCCATTTATGAATACCACTTATTCACTTCTCATAATTTCTTAATTATCATGATATATGGTCAGGATTGTACTGTATATTCATCAATTCAAACTGCATAAATAACAAATACTTAATTGCTCTATTGTGTTCTATCCTGGCTAGTGAGTGAGCAAGTATGAGTATTTATTATTTATTTATTTGAACACACAGATACTGGTACAAGGGGGAACCAGACACATATGCGCCACACAAATCTTGTTTGGTTTGTGTGAGGGCTATGATACTGTTCGGGTGCCTAAACAGAAACAGGGAGCAAGTATGAAAAACTGCATTTATTGAGTTTTCGGCTGTTATAGTACTATTATCATGCCATTGGCACTAGACAGACAATCTAGACGAACTAATCATTACTTTGACTAGATCAGTACAAGTTTATTACGGTCCGATTATACGGTCTCAAAAAATAACACACAAAAACTCGTTTTATTTTTTACTGTCACACCCAAACGTAAGCCGCATATCATAAACTCTCAAGCCCCCATTACCACCACTAGTTTCCTTTTATATTAATTACCAACTTGCTCCATTTTTAATTTACACATTTCAATTCAATTACTCATTAAAACTTACTTACTTACTTACGCCTGTTACTCCCAATCGAGCATAGGCCGCCGACATTCATATTAATTTATTACTATTATCATCATCATCCCAATTAACCTAAATCAATATTTCTTCTAATATGTAATATTTTCATATGAGTTATTTTGATGTAATGAAAGGAAACTAGTTCACGAAATAAAGAACAGTGAGACAAATATTGATTATCGTTATCAAAGATTAGGAAGTCTGTTGTTACTTTACCAGTAGTCTCAGCATTTACTAAACTGTATAATATGTATGATATTAATATGAATTAGTTTAAAATTCAAATTACCTGAATCAACTTTGTTGATATCACTGACAGGAAAAGAATCTGCGACAACTGTTGGAGTGAGCATTGATTCATTCGATGGCAAACTGAATTTACGACTAGTATACAAGGAACTGCTGTCATTATTCAGTACAGTTTCATTGCTATTGCTATTATTGTTTATATTATTTACAGTGGGAGAATTACGACTTTGAAATTTACGTGCAGCAGCTTTCTTAAGTTCACTCAAATTTGTATAGACTGGTGAAGGTATAGCTTGATTAGGATATAAGGTTTGTACTTTATGTGCTGAAATTTAAGATATATATATACTACTATTATCATTACAACTACTCACATTTATATAAGTAGTTTTCAAAGGGAAAAATCTAAACAGAATAGTTTACAATGTACACAAATCAATATATTAAACACGTAAATACACTTGCATTAAGGTGTAATATTCACTGTATATTAGAGTAAAGCCTGATGAGGATCTAATCGAAAACAATATTGTTCGCTTATATATGTTGTTCTAAATTTACAATATGGGAATATTTCAAATATTCACAATAGTAGAAATGAAGTCTGATCTTATGTATTTAATTTATGCTACTCAATTAATTTATCGGTAGTATGATTTGTACTTAAAAACTTGACAACGTGAAATAAGTCATAACTGGAGTTATAAAATAATAAGTGCGAAATTATACAATATATCGATTAAAAGTGCTGTTACTAAGACCGCAAAATGCCAACATCAGTAGTAGGTTGCAGATATTAAGTGGCAAAATAGGACGAAGTGTAAACTTTTAGTTCCATTGATAATCACAATATTCTGTATCATATGGTGAGCAAAACAGCTTAAACACATTATGGGACTGATATAAAAAAAATGCGAAAAGTCAAAAGTTCGCAAAATAATGTTAAAATACACTTTTACGAAGATTGAAACAATCGAAAATTATAGTCTCTACGAAACCTCCTACACTAGCAATAATAATGTACACAATCTTCACCAACTTCAAGATGCAACTTCTGGAGCTCAAGAAAGAAACTGTCACTGGTGGAGTTCAACTATATCGGGTGTGACAGTTATACATGAAGACAATCGGCAGATGGTCATGCATATTCTTGTGAATTGATTGAAGTTAGGTATTAACAACGTAGGATACCGACTCAGTAGCCTAGAAGTTGAATGTTTACGTACGAAACCGAGTGTGTTGAGTCCGATCTCCTGATCTGGTGCTATAGATGAGCACTGCTAAGGGATCTCATAATGCAACGAAAAATTTGCTCAGCGCCACCTATACTATGAAGAAACGGCCACTCAATGCTCTCAGGTTTCCAATAATGGTCAAAGATCATCTTGTGATCTAAACTATAGAAGATTGATAGTCCCGTACAGATAAATTAACAGTCAGTAATTATAAAAGAACAAAATTTGAAACAGTAGATAAAAACTTACATTTATCCAGACGAGTTTCATCACTATGATCTAATTTCTCATCATCTGTTTCACCATCCTCCGTATCTTCAGTGGTGGTGCCACCAGCACCGCCGCCGCCATCATCAGCATCAGCTTCAACGCTGATATCAATATTACTTGTTCTTCTTTCATGATTAACATCTTGACCATTATCGTTTTCATTATTGTTAAAATTTTCAGATGGAAAACCGAAAACAGGATTATCTTGAGTTGATTTACTACTGGTTTTTTGACGTTCATTTACATCTATACTTTTATTACTTAAACCAGGTAATGGAATCCAATCTGGTTGATGGAGAAAGGTACAAAAGTAAACGGAAAATGCAGCAGCTAAAGTATATATTGAATAAACACACTACTCATAAGTAACCATTATTATATAGTACAATTTCCTTGATCGCGCAGTCTCGACAGATCCTGAACTATGTTACTCACTGTCTCCTCCAACCACTGGTTACAATAATCTAAAGAACTTTAATTAGGTAGCCTGTGCCTACTAACATGGATTAGATCAACAGTTATCGGCTTCATGAGCTGATGGTTTGGCTGCCCCTATCTTTCGCCCAACCTGCCCTTACATTGGGTAACTTCGAGCTTCAAGGTGAGCTGTCGTTGGACATATGTAACACGTGTTCCAAACAACGTTGGAGATGTACTGGAATTTGATGCACAACTATATTAAAGTTCATTGAATGAAAGTGTTAGACTTTCTACAACATTTAAAAACAGATAAAAAGACAGCAAAAGTCAGAATTTCTTAATTCCTTTTGAGATTGTTATTTCTCATCAACATATCAACACGCAATGTTATGGTTATGTATTGGTTGCGCTTAGTTGAATGATTTTTAAGATGCACCAAAATCAATAGGCTAAACTATCGTTTGCTTGTTTATTCCAACAGTCAGAAGAGATGATAACTAAGTTATTTATCTGATAATAATCAATCATTAAAAACAACTGAACCTAAATAGTAAACTATTTACTATTCTTACAGTTTAACAATAATATTTTTAACCTCCATAATGTCCAAACATGGATTCTGATCATTTAAAAATCATGTACTTTTTTTAAGGCTGTTATTACGATTTCTTTTGAAACTTTTAAAGAAACTCATAAACTTGTTGTGTTTGACGACAGAGTACAACTATTCCGATTAACAAACAATTAGAAGATGCTTCTAATACGAAACGGGACCTATGGGAATTAGATAATTGAAACGATTAATAATATAAAATATTTCAAGAATGATCTGTGAAGTAAAAGATGATAGAAAAGTCAATAATTTAGGCGAAAGTTTGATATCAAAACAGGTCAAACTTCAAATATGATCTTGAGATACACACAAAATAAAGCTAAACAGATGGCAGTAAAACTTTACAGTTATATATATATATATATATATATATATATATATATATATATATATATAGTTGTTGTGCTGTATGTAATTTGTTTTTAAAATACTTTTGTTTTATTCTGCCTATTAACAATTTGATTGTTTTCACCTTATCGATTATGTCTTGTAGAAATAGAGCCTGCCAATCCAAATCAGGATCATTTTTTCCCAGATCATACATTTGAATTATTAATGTCTGTATGTAAAGTGTTATGTGAATGATAGTCAGTCACACTGACATTATGTTAAGATACTTCGTATTGTGTCTACTGAAATGAAGGGAAATAACAATCATCAAGCTCGACAGACAGGGAAACCATTTGAACATATATACACATGTATATGTAAGGGAAAATTACATAAACAATAGATATGAATAAAAATCTAAAATAGGGTGGGGAATAGTACCACTTAAGTAATAGTTATAACATGGCAGACTATACAGCGGACCATTATTACTACTGTTATGGTTATTGGTAGTAGTATTTTATGCTAAATCCAGGGTTTCAAAGATGATATCAACAAAATCCGGAAGATATACTATCCCGCTTGACAATAACTGAAAATAACAAGAATGGAGACGATAATACAAATAGTAAGCAGTTAAAACATGAATAATGTGGCTAGCTGTAAAGCTACACATACACACAGCGCAGGCTATCAGTTTATATTTACCACAAATCAAAATAGGAAAGTACTGTGTAAACTACTAGTAATACTTCTACTACTGACAGTAAGGATACGAATCGAATACTAATTAACAAAAGATATCTTCTGAGCAATAAGTACCACTAACTAAGCAAAGCGCGCAACTAGGGGTGAACATAAAAGGAGATATAAAACGATGAGAAAAATACGATGACTTTAGCAGCTTACGTGAAAATTTCTGCTTACCTCTTCACATACAATATGACCAATTATAACAGTTTGAGGATTCAAATCGAATCAAAGCGCATAACTCACTTAACTATAAATAACAGATTGGGTAACTCTAGTCCTGAAACCTAAGCGATCTTATAGACTATCATATAAAGATCTATCGAACACCACAACTTAATTTATCTACAATAAATGTATGAGATGGTGGTTGGACGCAGTCGACAGGAAACCTTGGATCTAAAGTTTCGTGCTATTTGGCACTCGTCGGCAAGCTGTATCTGTTTTCTTGACGGAATTGGTGCTCCCTGATGAATTCGACCCCATGTCACTACGCATCACAGTCAAAGACTAGCACTGAGCTACCCGGGCTGCGACTGACCTCTTGTACGGCTGAGATGTATTTACAATTGACTGATCACTAGGTAGAACCCAGGTTGGAACTTGGTTGATAGAATTTGATCTGAACTAAGGAGGTACATGGCACTCTTGACATTGATCACAACCCAGTGATCAATCAATTGCAAAAACAACAAAAGTGGGTGTGAAACAAGAAACAAATAACAACCATAGATATGAATAAATGGCAACGCCTGTAACTGTAGTGTAGTAATTACTGATGAGGTAGTACAAATCCATACAAAGAGACGCAAAAGTTTCCTATTGATGCAACCTAGATCACCTCCCTAAATGAAACGAGTTTGTCTTATTTAAATTCAGAAAGGAAGCGAAGTATAGCCGGAACGAATTTCACAGTTAATTAATTTTTACACTAATATTACTACTGAACGAAATCTGTTGCAAACATTGTTGTATTTCACATGATCGATCTACATAGTCCATTAACTAACGGGAAGGATTGGGAATTATTAAACAGTCATTAACATAAGACTTGTAACAGATAGTTGTAAATAAATGACCAAAGAATGTACTAGTATTATGGGGCATTGGTAACATTTTATTCCTAGAGTATGTTTTTATTGAAGTTGGAGTGTGTTTGAAGGGGCCCACATAGGTAATACTAGTCTCTGGACAGATCAATCTACTCATTTTTCTCAAGCCACATTTTTATCCTGTTACTTATTCGCTTATTAACACCGACTGTTTTTTGTGTGATCATATGGTGTGGTAATTACTTACTCTATGAATCATGTATCTGTAACTTATTTTCGTTTGGATATAAATATTGAGTCACGCCTGATAAAAACGAATTGGCTCACTCGTTTTCTGTACTGCGCGTTACTTTGTTTCGTATCGCTCTCTCCTCTTCGCTTCCTTCACTCCGTCTTTGGTTGTTCAGATCAACGATTGTACGAAATATACGTATTTAAACTTTATTCTCGTTCCGTTGTTCACTAATGCAATTTAAGTTGATTGTATACGAACGAGGGTAGTTGGAATGTATACATCAATAACGATCATCATATGATCCGATTGGAGTCAGATACAGAGCAACTAAATGTTAACATTCTAATCAAGAATATGATGTGCTTATTTCATGTGTGACTCATCACCTGAATGTAACCTGCATCTCAGTGTTGGTGTTCAAACGAAACTCGTCTCAAACGCCAGCGTACTCATCCACTGATTTGGTGAGTTCAGATTACCACCTTGGATGCTTATGTACTAACAGAGATTGGTTAACTGTAGCCCATAAAATTAACAAATGAAAAATACAAACTTTTAAATATTATATATAAATATATAAGTTTTTTATATTTAGGTTTTACTACTGATATGGTATATCTGTCAATTTTAGTATGAAACTATACTGATTATAAATGATAACAGAGTCTAAAAATTTTTCATAGGAAAGTCCAAATTCTAGGGTACATTTATTTGATTTAATATACTTTGGAATGTCCTATCTAAGCTTTTTGGAATTCTGACCAAGTGCACACACAGAGAGAGAGATGAAAGTCGGCTAATTTGAAACAAACGACTATATGTAAACAGTTGGTACACTGAGACAAAAAAATGACTGAATTTTATTAACCAAGTACCCATAGCAGATTTTTTAACTGTCATTTTAATATAAGGATGAAATTCTAACAATATGAGACAGAAGATAATCACATTTCATCGCTTATCAATCTATAATTTTCTTTTAGACTTAGTCACAAACAAAAAATGAACACTGGGCATCTAATATATCGCGATTTAGTGTATGTACGGCCGATCTCAAAACTGGGTGTCTACCGAATCTTCCATCCGGTTCAGCAACATTGTCGGAAAATTTTCCTGGTACCGGCAGTGGTGTGATGTTTCGGTATATTACTTAACGCTAGATGTTTATTAAATCTTATGTAACCACTAGTTTGGGTGCCCAAATATTGCAATAGTCATTTTTATTTGATAATCAGTGGCTTCTGTAGGTAACCTTAGCTTGTAGGCAAATGGCTAGTAAAGCGCATATATAACTGTTAAAAAAAACTTGGAGTTAAAGATTACAAAACATGATATTAATTCACTACTCAATAATTAATTAGTAGGTGTATATATCACGCTTAAAGAGGTGTGTTGTATGTTACTTATGTGGGTAGAAATAAGTAGTATGTAGCATGAATTGGAAGCGGAAGGCTTAGAAACAGAATATAAAAATAAAGAGAAGAGGAAGTAAATTTTTCTAATTACATGAAACAGGTGATAGATCGGATACCGCGTATGTGCTTCACATTAATTCAATCATTATTTTAAATTACAACTGACCACTGTGTGTCAGTATCACCAAGGTATGATTTGATAGCATAAAGGAAAAGTGCACAATATTTAACTCAGTCAACCGCTAAAAACCAGGAAGCGCTGGAAAGCTTTTCGTTTTAATAATACACTTCTTAGCAGTGTACTTTTACGAAACCACAATGGGTCGAACCCAGAAACTTCGGATATATGTTAAGCAATCCTAGCGAAAATAATACTGTGCATACTCGAGCACATCAGTTGAATAACTTCATCCTATATATCTTTGTGTTGTTGTCATCATGTCCATATACCTGTTCACGTGTTAACCTTA